ATATTGCTTGGTAGTTTCCACATTCAGAAAGGTTGGATCACCTATGTTGGGAATAGGAACTAGTATGGACTTTGGATTCCTTTCAATCCATTGGCCAGACAGCTATCCTCCAAATTTCCTGGCCTAGGCTGGTGAGCACATCCTATGCTGCGTCTGTTATGAAATGAGTTAACTACTATCCCATCAATTCATGGGCCTCATTTTTGTGTGAATACCTTCACTGCAGTTTCAGATTCCTCCTTCATTACCATTAGCTCCTGCTTATATGGTTCTTCCTGATTTGTTTATACTTTATTAACTATGAAAAGGTATTTGTCTGTTTGGATCATAATAAGTTATGGCTAAGATTGAGAAGAATGAGAATCTCAGAGCCCTTCCTTGTGCTTATATGAAACCTATACCTAGACCAAGAGGCTGTTAAGCGAACAGAGCAAGAGAACACTGCATGATTTAAATTAAGAAAGGAGTACATCAGTGGTAAGAATCTCTGTTTTCTTGAGAATGCAATCCATATTAGGCTGTATTCTTTGATCTTCGGCGACAAGTATTTCAAGTTCTCCTCACTTTCATCAAGCAAGGTTATGTCTTCATAACACATTGTTGATGAGTCTTCCTTGAATTCTGATGCCACATTCCTCTTCATAGTATCCAGCTTCTCAAATAATTTGATCAGCATACACATCAAATAGATATGGAGAGAGAATACAACCTGACACACTTCCTTCTTAATTTTAAATCATCTAGTGCTCCCTTGTTCTGTTCAACCAATAGCCTCCTGGTCTAAGTGTAGACCATCATCTCTATTCTGAGGTTATGAACTTAAGTAAGAGCATAACTTCATGATAGATGGAGAAAAGACTGAAACGGTCAATGGCTTCATCTTACTTAATCCACAATTAGTACCCTTAGTACCAGCAGTCAGAAAATAAGGAGACTCATTGCACTGGGAAAGGTGGCAGGTAGGGACTTCTCCAAATTATTTAGGAGTAACAATGTTAGTTTGAGGACCAAGGTGCATCTGATTCAGGCCATGGTCTTTCCAGTCACTTGCTATGCAGATGAGAGCTAGAGAATGAATGAGGATGACAGAAGAATTGATGCTTTGAGCTGTGGTCCTGGAGAAAAACATTGAACATTGCATGGATGGCCAAAAGAACAATGTCTTGAAGTAAGTGCACCCAGAGTGCTCTTTGGAGGCAATGATGATACAGCTTCACCTCACATACTTCTGCCATGTTGCTAGGAGTGGCTGTTTCTTGGAGAGGGACATGATGCTTGGAAAGGCAGAGGGTTGGCGAAGGAGAGGAAGACCCACAATGAGGAGGATTGACACAGTGACTACTGCAGTGGTTTCTAGTGTGTCAGGAAGGGTGAGAATGGCACAGGATAGGACTGGTTCAGGTCTGTTTATAGGATTGATGTGGGTCATACATGACTCAGCAATACCTAAACAAAACAACATCAAAATATGTGTCAGTTTGGATGTTTCATGATTCTCAGTATAACAATCCTATGGTGTTATAAATCCTCACCTGGAATCTCTGATGGTTCAAACTCATCATCTATTCCTCAAGAGAAAGATGGGCAGTTTCTTCTGGTTAAGATTTACAGCCTCAAAAATCTGATGGATGGTCATTTCACAATGGCAGTGAGTGAGGATGTTAATGAAGCAATCATGTATTGAAATTATTCTCCATGATGTTATATGAAATGGAATTAGGTAGTCAGCTGTAAGGGGATCAGGATGGGATCCTACATCCTTAAGTAGGCTGCATCCGTAATCCAGTGAAAGAGGAGTTTCTGTAGAATGTGGCTTTCATCACCTTTTGTCTTATTAGAGATAAAAGGAGACAGGAAGCAAGCAGAGAGAAGAGAACTCAGTACCTAGTCTTCAAGAAAGGAGACAAGGAGTGGAACAGATCTCTTGGACCAAGGTGCCCTTGCTGGGATGCGGCTCAATCTAGAAGAAGGTCAAGGCATATCCCCAAGATCCCCTAGCAGTACAGGACGCACAGATGCTAAAGTTTCCTCTTGAACTGACAGAAAATCTCTCCTTAGAGCTGACATTCTGAATAGGGTCTACTAACCTCCTAAACTGTAAAGCAATAAATGAAAGCAATTCCATTTGTGGTATCTCTGTGATAGTAGCACTAGATAAATAAGGAAGTATAAATGCAAACCATTTACCAACTATTGTGTCTACTTTAGGTATGTAATAAGGAGTAGGAAGATCATCAGTCTTGTGCTTGAATTGTCTACCATATGGAGAACTGATAGCCTTGAAATAAATATTTATATAAATCACTTAGGTAAATTATGAAAGAAGCAGATCTATAAAAGCCATCATTGGTTCTATAAGACTATAATGGAAATCCTGGAAGACTTGTTTCAGGAAAGGATATTTATGATGAGATACGAAGAGAAATAGAAGTAAAATAGACAAAGGAGTTGGGTGACAAGCATGCAGAACAGAAAGGAATAGGATGAGAGAAGACCCTAAGGGGAGTGGAGCTTGGCTCAACTGAGAAATAGAAAGCAAGCCAGGGTGGCTGGACTAGAACACAGAGAATGAGTGGGGAGACAGTACTAGACAGGGAGTGAAGCCTGGTTGCTTCAGGCTTTGTAAGCTCTTAATCAGTGTGGACTTGAACTTAAGGGGGGGGGGATAAATCCACAAAAGCCTATTATAGTAGGGAAAGAAATATAGTCCAATTTACGTGGGAAAACATAAACTGCTAAATGTAGAATAAATTGAAGAGAGGACAAACGAGTAGAAATAGGGTGAACCTATAGGATGCTCTTAACTGTGCTCTCAGGTAAGACGTGAAAGTGAGATATATTTTGTTTTGAAAGTAGAATCAATAATACTTGTCAGTAGATTGAATTTACAGTTGAGGGGGGAGGGGTTTCAGAAATGACTTCTAGATTCTTGGTTGAACAACGGGGCCCATGTTGACATTTACTCAGGTGGGGAGGATTAGCTATGAAATTATCTGGGGCTAAGTATAAGAAAGAACTCTATTGTATGAGGCACTTGTAAGACATCTAGTGGAGATACGAAGTAGCAATTAGATATGCACATCCCTTTTAAAAATTGTGCTGTGATTTTAATGAAAGTTTATAGAAGATTGGGCCTGCCTGCCTGCCTTCCTTCCTTCCTTCCTGAGTTCCTCCTCCTCCTTCTTTGCTCCTCCCCAGTTCGTTTTGTAATGCACCTCTTGTTCCAGATTGTTAATTGTCATACGTATAATGCCAAATCATACATTCATTTCAAACAGTCCTTCCCGGCTTCTGTTCTAGTGCAGTGTTCATTATCTAGCCTCTCTTTTCCTGTTTTCTCCCACATCTTAATCTCAAGAAAAATGTAATTAAATATGTAAATTTGGAAGATACCAATGTAGCAATAATCCTTGATCTCAAGGCAATAATTTGTTTAGTTGAAGTTAATGAACTCACACTGGAATAAGTGGGTGGGTGTAAATTAAATAAAGAAGGCCATTTCAAGTGAAGGCAGTGATAAGATTAAAGCACCAATACGGGGTAGGGGGG